GCAGGCCCAGCCTTGGATAGTAGAGGGCCGCCGGCCCAGCCTTGGATAGTAGAGGACCGCCGCCCCAGCCTTGGATAGTAGAGGGCCGCCGTCCCAGCCTTGGCTAGTAGGGGTGGCAGGCCCAGCCTTGGATAGTAGAGGGCCGCCGGCCCAGCCTTGGCTAGTAGGGGCGGCAGGCCCAGCCTTGGATAGTAGGGGGCCGCCGGCCCAGCCTTGGCTAGTAGGGGCGGCAGGCCCAGTCTTGGATAGTAGGGGGCCGCCGGCCCAGCCTTGGCTGGTAGGGGGCTGTAACAGAACCGAACCCGGACTGCGCTAGGGTATTTCTGTTATACTCTCGCTTCCCCATCCGAACACCATCCCCGGGCACCACCGCTGACCATACAGGAAATAGACAGCACCAGGCTTCTTAAGACAGGAAGTGAACTGCTTTATTTTTACACAAACAAAAGATATATACACAGGGCGGGGAAATACAACCAGGAACAGGAAACACATCAGCAGGCTGTCCCATCAGGGGGAAGGGCTGCCGGAAACACCCCCCACCAAACCAAGACACACAATAGAACAATGGGATACACCACGTGGCAGTAGACAATAGGGGAACACATGCATCCCATAATAGTTTGCTGGCAAGCAAGATACAATAGAACAATGGGGCAACCACATGGCAACAAACAATGGACAACCCCCCCCCACCCAACCTATACATATCTACACAATATCAGGACAGGGTGCCTTTACACATAAGAGGGATTTAGGGAGATGATACAGGGGGTCCCCTCACCCCCAAAAGTCACTCCCGTCACAGGGGCCACCTTGGATAATAGGGGCCTCCAGCCCAGCTTTGGTTAGTAGGGGGCTGCCATCCCAGCCTTGGATTATAGGGGCCTCCAGCTCAACTTTGGCTAGTAGGGGCCCGCCGTCCCAGCCTTGGATAATAGGGGCCTCTAGCCCAGCAATGAATAACAGGGGGCCGCCATCCCAGCCTTGGATAATAGGGGGCCGCCATCCCAGCCTTGGATAATAGGAGGCGGCAATCCCAGCTTTGCATAGTAGAGGGCCGCCGTCCCAGCCTTGGCTAGTAGGGGGTCGCCGTCCCAGCCTTGGCTAGTAGGGGGTCGCCGTCCCAGTCTTGAATAATAGGGGCCTCCAGCCCAGCTTTGGTTAGGGGGTCGCCGTCCCAGCCTTGGCTAGTGGGGGGGGAGCCGTCCCAGCCTTGGCTAGTGGGGGGCCGCCATCCCAGCCTTTGATAATAGTGGCCTCCAGCCCAGCTCTGGTTAGTATCCTCATGAGACACATTATAAAATGAAATCTATAATTTTTTTGTACAATAACTTTTTATATTTAAAGCTTTTTTTTTTTTTTTTTTAAGATTGATTTTCAAAATTCTATATAACACTTTGTTGTTTTAACCCCTCGCCTACCGGGCACTTCTACCCCCTTCCTGCCTACCGGGCACTTCTACCCCCTTCCTGCCTACCGGGCACTTCTACCCCCTTCCTGCCTACCAGACACTTCTACCCCCTCCCTGCCTACAGGGCACTTCTATCTACCCCCTTCCTGCCTACCGGGCACTTCTACCCCCTTCCTGCCTACCGGGCACTTCTACCCCCTTCCTGCCTACCGGGCACTTCTACCCCCTTCCTGCCTACAGGGCACTTCTACCCCCTTCCTGCCTACAGGGCACTTCTACCCCCTTCCTGCCTACCGGGCACTTCTACCCCCTTCCTGCCTACAGGGCACTTCTACCCCCGGGCACTTTCCTCCTGCCTACCGGGCACTTCTACCCCCTTCCTGCCTACCGGGCACTTCTACCCCCTTCCTGCCTACAGGGCACTTCTACCCCCTTCCTGCCTACAGGGCACTTCTACCCCCTTCCTGCCTACAGGGCACTTCTACCCCCTTCCTGCCTACAGGGCACTTCTACCCCCTTCCTGCCTACAGGACACTTCTACCCCCTTCCTGCCTACAGGACACTTCTACCCCCTTCCTGCCTACCGGGCACTTCTACCCCCTTCCTGCCTACAGAGCACTTCTACCCCCTTCCTGCCTATCGGGCACTTCTACCCCCTTCCTGCCTACCGGGCACTTCTACCCCCTTCCTGCCTACAGGACACTTCTACCCCCTTCCTGCCTACCGGGCACTTCTACCCCCTTCCTGCCTACAGGACACTTCTACCCCCTTCCTGCCTATCGGGCACTTCTACCCCCTTCCTGCCTACCGGGCACTTCTACCCCCTTCCTGCCTACCGGGCACTTCTACCCCCTTCCTGCCTACAGGGCACTTCTACCCCTTCCTGCCTACCGGGCACTTCTACCCCCTTCCTGCCTACCGGACACTTCTACCCCCTTCCTGCCTACAGGGCACTTCTACCCCCTTCCTGCCTACAGGACACTTCTACCCCCTTCCTGCCTACCGGGCACTTCTACCCCCTTCCTGCCTACCGGGCACTTCTACCCCCTTCCTGCCTACCGGGCACTTCTACCCCCTTCCTGCCTACCGGGCACTTCTACCCCCTTCCTGCCTACCGGGCACTTCTACCCCCTTCCTGCCTACAGGACACTTCTACCCCCTTCCTGCCTACCGGGCACTTCTACCCCCTTCCTGCCTACCGGACACTTCTACCCCCTTCCTGCCTACAGGGCACTTCTACCCCCTTCCTGCCTACAGGGCACTTCTACCCCCTTCCTGCCTACAGGACACTTCTACCCCCTTCCTGCCTACAGGACACTTCTACCCCCTTCCTGCCTACCGGGCACACTTCTACCCCCTTCCTGCCTACAGAGCACTTCTACCCCCTTCCTGCCTATCGGGCACTTCTACCCCCTTCCTGCTACCGGGCACTTCTACCCCCTTCCTGCCTACAGGACACTTCTACCCCCTTCCTGCCTACCGGGCACTTCTACCCCCTTCCTGCCTACAGGACACTTCTACCCCCTTCCTGCCTATCGGGCACTTCTACCCCCTTCCTGCCTACCGGGCACTTCTACCCCCTTCCTGCCTACGGGCACTTCTACCCCCCTTCCTGCCTACCGGGCACTTCTACCCCCTTCCTGCCTACAGGGCACTTCTACCCCCTTCCTGCCTACCGGGCACTTCTACCCCCTTCCTGCCTACCGGACACTTCTACCCCCTTCCTGCCTACAGGGCACTTCTACCCCCCTTCCTGCCTACAGGACACTTCTACCCCTTCCTGCCTACCGGGCACTTCTACCCCCTTCCTGCCTACCGGGCACTTCTACCCCCTTCCTGCCTACAGGGCACTTCTACCCCCTTCCTGCCTACAGGGCACTTCTACCCCCTTCCTGCCTACAGGGCACTTCTACCCCCTTCCTGCCTACAGGGCACTTCTACAGGACACTTCTACCCCCTTCCTGCCTACAGGACACTTCTACCCCCTTCCTGCCTACAGGACACTTCTACCCCCTTCCTGCCTACCGGGCACTTCTACCCCCTTCCTGCCTACAGAGCACTTCTACCCCCTTCCTGCCTATCGGGCACTTCTACCCCCTTCCTGCCTACCGGGCACTTCTACCCCCTTCCTGCCTACAGGACACTTCTACCCCCTTCCTGCCTACCGGGCACTTCTACCCCCTTCCTGCCTACAGGACACTTCTACCCCCTTCCTGCCTATCGGGCACTTCTACCCCCTTCCCCCTACCGGGCACTTCTACCCCCTTCCTGCCTACCGGGCACTTCTACCCCCTTCCTGCCTACAGGGCACTTCTACCCCCTTCCTGCCTACCGGGCACTTCTACCCCCTTCCTGCCTACCGGACACTTCTACCCCCTTCCTGCCTACAGGGCACTTCTACCCCCTTCCTGCCTACAGGACACTTCTACCCCCCCCCCTTCCTGCCTACCGGGCACTTCTACCCCCTTCCTGCCTACCGGGCACTTCTACCCCCTTCCTGCCTACCGGGCACTTCTACCCCCTTCCTGCCTACCGGGCACTTCTACCCCCTTCCTGCCTACCGGGCACTTCTACCCCCTTCCTGCCTACAGGACACTTCTACCCCCTTCCTGCCTACCCGGGCACTTCTACCCCCTTCCTGCCTACCGGACACTTCTACCCCCTTCCTGCCTACAGGGCACTTCTACCCCCTTCCTGCCTACAGGGCACTTCTACCCCCTTCCTGCCTACAGGACACTTCTACCCCCTTCCTGCCTACAGGACACTTCTACCCCCTTCCTGCCTACCGGGCACTTCTACCCCCTTCCTGCCTACAGAGCACTTCTACCCCCTTCCTGCCTATCGGGCACTTCTACCCCCTTCCTGCCTACCGGGCACTTCTACCCCCTTCCTGCCTACAGGACACTTCTACCCCCTTCCTGCCTACCGGGCACTTCTACCCCCTTCCTGCCTACAGGACACTTCTACCCCCTTCCTGCCTATCGGGCACTTCTACCCCCTTCCTGCCTACCGGGCACTTCTACCCCCTTCCTGCCTACCGGGCACTTCTACCCCCTTCCTGCCTACCGGGCACTTCTACCCCCTTCCTGCCTACAGGGCACTTCTACCCCCTTCCTGCCTACCGGGCACTTCTACCCCCTTCCTGCCTACCGGACACTTCTACCCCCTTCCTGCCTACAGGGCACTTCTACCCCCTTCCTGCCTACAGGACACTTCTACCTAACCCCCTTCCTGCCTACCGGGCACTTCTACCCCCTTCCTGCCTACCGGACACTTCTACCCCCTTCCTGCCTACAGGGCACTTCTACCCCCTTCCTGCCTACAGGGCACTTCTACCCCCTTCCTGCCTACAGGGCACTTCTACCCCCTTCCTGCCCCAGGCCAATTTCCAGCTTTCAGCGCTGTTGCACTTTGACAATTGCACGGTCATGCAACACTGTACCCATATGACATTTTTATCATTTTTTTGTGACAGAGCTTTTATTTTGGTGGTATTTAATCACTTCGGGGATTTTTATTTTTTCTTAAACCAAAAACCACTGAAAATTTTTTTGAAAAAAAAAAATTTTTTTCTTAGTTTTTGTTATATAAAAATTTTGTAAAGTGATTTTTCTCTTTCACTGATGTGCGCTAATGAGGCTGCAGTGATGGGCACTGATAGGTGGCACTGATGGGCACTGACAGGGATCACTGATGGGCACTGATGAGGAGGCACTGGTAGGTGGCACTGATGGGCACTGACAGGGATCACTGATGGGCACTGATAGGCAGCACTGACTGGCACTGATGGGTGGCACTGAAAGGCAGCTCATATGGGCACTGAGAGCTGGCACTGATGGGGCTACAGTGATCATCAGTGCCCTGATGATCAGTGTAGATGTCCCCTCCGAGGAATGCCGATTACCGGCTCTCCGCTCCTCTCCTCTGTCAGCGTGACAGCTCGTGTGGAGCGAAATGCTGATAACCGGCATTTCCCTGTTTACATGTGATCACTGTGATTGGACACAGCTGATCACATGACCGACATCTTCGGCTCTTTCCGTGGATCGGTGATCGCCTCTGTCCGAGGGACGCAGCGCACCGCCGATCGCTGCACTGTGCGTTCCCGGAGCCCGGCATGTGTGCTTAGAATGGGAGGACGTCATATGACTCCTCCCAGAACGAGAGAACCGCCTTGCGCCCGTCATTGGTCTATATGGCGGGTGGGAGGCGGTTAAGTAATTAAAGTTTCGTAGAATCCGTAGCCTCAGGGCAGAGATATAAATACTGCTTTGGTCTATAGGGGGCGCAAATCTACAGCTGAACGGCCTGAACAGAAACTGATTTAGTCATTGATATTTGGGGAATTGATATTATTGAAACTTTCGGTCTGAATTGATGTTCAGGAAACCATCGAATGGACGGCTCCACTGTACACTCTGCAAGAAAAAGTGATTGGCATTTTACTTGTCTTTATCCAGCCCTTGAGGTGCTATTCCTCCCACTGACACCAATGATGGGGCCCTATATCTCCCACTGACACCAATGATGGGGCACTATTCCTCCCACTGACACCAATGATGGGGCCCTATATCTCCCACTGACACCAATGATGGGACACTATTCCTCCCACTGACACCAATGATGGGGCACTATTCCTCCCACTGACACCGATGATGGGGCGCTATTCCTCCCACTGACACCAATGATGGGGCACTATTCCTCCCACTGACACCAATGATGGGGCCCTATATCTCCCACTGACACCAATGATGGGGCCCTATATCTCCCACTGACACCAATGATGGGGCACTATTCCTCCCACTGACACAATGATGGGGCGCTATTCCCCCCACTGACACCAATGATGGGGCACTATTCCTCCCACTGACACCAATGATGGGGACCTATATCTCCCACTGACACCAATGATGGGGCACTATTCCTCCCACTGACACCAATGATGGGGCGCTATTCCTCCCACTGACACCAACGATGGGGCACTATTCCTCCCACTGACACCAATGATGGAACACTATTCCTCCCACTGACACCAATGATGGGGCTCTATTCCTCCCACTGACACCAATGATGGGGCACTATTCCTCCCACTGACACCAATGATGGGGCACTATTCCTCCCACTGACACCAATGATGGAACACTATTCCTCCCACTGATACCAATGATGGGGCACTATTCCTCCCACTGACACCAATGATGGGGCACTATTCCTCCCACTGACACCAATGATGGGGCTCTATTCCTCCCACTGACACCAATGATGGGGCACTATTCCTCCCACTGACACCCACTGACACCAATGATGGGGCACTATTCCTGACCCACTGACACCAATGATGGGGCACTATTCCTCCCACTGACACCAATGATGGGGGCACTATTCCTCCCACTGACACCAATGATGGGGCCCTATATCTCCCACTGACACCAATGATGGGGCACTATTCCTCCCACTGACACCAATGATGGGGCCCTATATCCTCCCACTGACACCAATGATGGGGCACTATTCCTCCCACTGACACCAATGATGGGGCACTATTCCCCCACTGACACCAATGATGGGGCACTATTACCCCCACTGACACCAATGATGGGGCACTATTCCTCCCACTGACACCAATGATGGGGCACTATTCCTTCCCCCCACTGACACCAATGATGGGGCACTATTATTCCTCCCACTGACACCAATGATGGGGCACTATTCCTCCCACTGACACCAATGATGGGGCACTATTCCTCCCACTGACACCAATGATGGGGCACTATGCTCCACTCCCACTGACACCAATGATGGGGCACTATTCCTCCCACTGACACCAATGATGGGGCACTATTCCTCCCACTGACACCAATGATGGGGCACTATTCCTCCCACTGACACCAATGATGGGGCACTATTCCTCCCACTGACACCAATGATGGGGCACTATTCCTCCCACTGACACCAATGATGGGGCACTATTCCTCCCACTGACACCAATGATGGGGCACTATTCCCACTCCCACTGACACCAATGATGGGGCACTATTCCTCCCACTGACACCAATGATGGGGCACTATTCCTCCCACTGACACCAATGATGGGGCACACTATTCCTCCCACTGACACAATGATGGGGCACTATTCCTCCCACTGACACCAATGATGGGGCACTATTCCTCCCACTGACACCAATGATGGGGCACTATTCCTCCCACTGACACCAATGATGGGGCACTATTCCTCCCACTGACACCAATGATGGGTCCTGATTCCTCTATAAGGAAGGGTCCTATTCCTCTATATAGATCCTATCACCAAGAGGGGTCACCGGCAGGAGGAAGGAGGTCCCTGATTCCTCTATATAGATCCTATCACTAGAGGGGTCACCGGGGGAGGAAGGAAGGAGGTCCTGATTCCTCTATATAGATCCTATCACTAGAGGGGTCACCGGCAGGAGGAAGGAGGTCCTGATTCCTCTATATAGATCCTATATCACTAGAGGGGTCACCGGCAGGAGGAAGGAGGTCCTGATTCCTCTATATAGATCTATCACTAGAGAGGGGTCACCGGCAGGAGGAAGGAGGTCCTGATTCCTCTATATAGATCCTATCACTAGAGGGGGTCACCGGCAGGAGGAAGGAGGTCCTGATTCCTCTATATAGATCACTATATCATCACTAGAGGGGTCACCGGCAGGAGGAAGGAGGTCCTGATTCCTCTATATAGATCTTTATATCACTAGAGGGGTCACCGGCAGGAGGAAGAGGTCCTGATTCCTCTATATAGATCTTTATATCACTAGAGGGGTCACCGGCAGGAGGAAGGAGGTCCTGATTCCTCTATATAGATCTATCACTAGAGGGGTCACCGGCAGGAGGAAGGAGGTCCTGATTCCTCTATGATAGATCCTATCCTCATAGGAGGATTCCTCCTATATATATAGATCACTAGAGGGGTCACCGGCAGGAGGAAGGAGGTCCTGATTCCTCTATATAGATCTATCACTAGAGGGGTCACCGGCAGGAGGAAGGAGGTCCTGATTCCTCTATATAGATCTATCACTAGAGGGGTCACCGGCAGGAGGAAGGGAGTCCTGATTCCTCTATATAGATCCTATCACTAGAGGGGTCACCGGCAGGAGGAAGGAGGTCCTGATTCCTCTATATAGATCTATCACTAGAGGGGTCACCGGCAGGAGGAAGGAGGTCCTGATTCCTCTATATAGATCCTATCACTAGAGGGGTCACCGGCAGGAGGAAGGAGGTCCTGATTCCTCTATATAGATCCTATCACTAGAGGGGTCACCGGCAGGAGGAAGGAGGTCCTGATTCCTCTATATAGATCCTATCACTAGAGGGGTCACCGGCAGGAGGAAGGAGGTCCCTGATTCCTCTATATAGATCCTATCACTAGAGGGGTCACCGGCAGGAGGAAGGAGGTCCTGATTCCTCTATATAGATCCTATCACTAGAGGGGTCACCGGCAGGAGGAAGGAGGTCCTGATTCCTCTATATAGATCCTATCACTAGAGGGGTCACCGGCAGGAGGAAGGAGGTCCTGATTCCTCTATATATAGATCCTATCACTAGAGGGGTCACCGGCAGGAGGAAGGAGGTCCTGATTCCTCTATATAGAGATTCTATCACTAGAGGGGTCACCGGCAGGAGGAAGGAGGTCCTGATTCCTCTATATAGATCCTATCACTAGAGAGGGTCACCGGCAGGAAAAGGAGGAGGAGGTCCTGATTCCTCTATATAGATCCTATCACTAGAGGGGTCACCGGCAGGAGGAAGGAGGTCCTGATTCCTCTATATAGATCCTATCACTAGAGGGGTCACCGGCAGGAGGAAGGAGGTCCTGATTCCTCTATATAGATCCTATCACTAGAGGGGTCACCGGCAGGAGGAAGGAGGTCCTGATTCCTCTATATAGATCCTATCACTAGAGGGGTCACCGGCAGGAGGAAGGAGGTCCTGATTCCTCTATATAGATCTATCACTAGAGGGGTCACCCGGCAGGAGGAAGGAGGTCCTGATTCCTCTATATAGATCCTATCACTAGAGGGGTCACCGGCAGGAGGAAGGAGGTCCTGATTCCTCTATATAGATCCTATCACTAGAGGGGTCACCGGCAGGAGGAAGGAGGTCCTGATTCCTCTATATAGATCCTATCACTAGAGGGGTCACCACCGGCAGGAGGAAGGAGGTCCTGATTCCTCTATATAGATCCTATCACTAGAGGGGTCACCGGCAGGAGGAAGGAGGTCCTGATTCCTCTATATAGATCCTATCACTAGAGGGGTCACCGGCAGGAGGAAGGAGGTCCTGATTCCTCTATATAGATCCTATCACTAGAGGGGTCACCGGCAGGAGGAAGGAGGTCCTGATTCCTCTATATAGATCCTATCACTAGAGGGGTCACCGTCACCGGCAGGAGGAAGGAGGTCCTGATTCCTCTATATAGATCCTATCACTAGAGGGGTCACCGGCAGGAGGAAGGAGGTCCTGATTCCTCTATATAGATCCTATCACTAGAGGGGTCACCGGCAGGAGGAAGGAGGTCCTGATTCCTCTATATAGATCCTATCACTAGAGGGGTCACCGGCAGGAGGAAGGAGGTCCTGATTCCTCTATATAGATAGATCACTATATCACTAGAGGGGTCACCGGCAGGAGGAAGGAGGTCCTGATTCCTCTATATAATCCTATCACTAGAGGGGTCACCGGCAGGAGGAAGGAGGTCCTGATTCCTCTATATAGATCCTATCACTAGAGGGGTCACCGGCAGGAGGAAGGAGGTCCTGATTCCTCTATATAGATCCTATCACTAGAGGGGTCACCGGCAGGAGAGGAAGGAGGTCCTGATTCCTCTATATATAGATCCTATCACTAGAGGGGTCACCGGCAGGAGGAAGGAGGAGGTCCTGATTCCTCTCTATATATAGATCCTATCACTAGAGGGGTCACCGGCAGGAGGAAGGAGGTCCTGATTCCTCTATATAGATCCTATC